CCAATCCGAATCGTACTTTTTGGTGAGGTCTTTGATATGACTGGCTGGAATAATAATAAAAAAAACATTTTACAATAAAAACAATATTGAGACGATAAAATGAGTGAATAGCAAAATGATGAACCATCATCATAAGCAACGATGTAGGAAAGTGGTTTGGTCGCCCTTGCCTCAGCGGCTTCCAAGTCGTTGATCGTTAACTCGGGGCCGGCCACACCTAGCCACGTCAAAATTAATAATTTATTCAAACCTCTCAAACTTTTATTAGCAGAAATGAATAAAAAAAAAATGTTTCAGAAAAATATCAAGCTGATTGAATTTTCTCAAAATTAGGACTGGAAGTCAACAGCCAAATGCAGAGGCGCAGGGGAGATGTGATGCGAATAATCTTTATAAACACATCTCCGATTTTCCAATCTAGCCTAGTGCTTGAAAAAAAAATGAACACCGAACATGCAACTTACTGATCCAAGAAGATGCTCCTTCCAAATAAACTTCACACCACCAATCACCAACGCCTGGAAAAAATGAATTACAGCTAATCTAATAACTATCAAAAGACCCTAAATTCAACATTAATAGGTTAAATATCCCTGGATACAATTTTTAAAAGTAATAATACATAATAAATTAAGTTTTCATACATAATCATACAGCCTATATAAAGCATATATATTTTTATTAGTTTTTGAAGCTATTTATCATCAACAGTATCCATCTATCGTGGATCAATTCTTTGTTCTTAAACCATTTGAACGTTTGTTAATTTATTGATACAATTTTGAAAAATGTTAAATCACAGTTTAAGTTTCAATCCGTTCTCGAAAGATCGGTTACACGTGTACCTACATATGTACATATCTCTTTACAAAGATAATAATTGTGCTAATAAATGATTTTTATTGAAAGCTAGAAGAACGTTGAAAAGCTGAAATTCAACTCAAAAAAACTGTTACAAAAGTAACGGAAGGCGGGTATTCGTCATAAAATTAGGCGCTCTTATTTGTACATATCAGCCGTAGTTAAGTTATCGTTAGCGGTTAAATCACACAACCTCCCATATTAGCTTAGCTAAATATGTGGCTGTTTTAAAGACTGTCGAAAGGTTTTAATAGACTGAAACTTTCTTAAAGTTATAATCAGTTTATTGGTTTTGAACGTCGTACAGCAAGCAGAAAAATTGGAAATCCCTTAAGAACTTGAATAAGATAATAGACTGAAATTCAGCCTCACCTTTGTTTTTGGTTTTTTTCGGTGGTGACGATGATGATGATGATGGTGGTGGTGGTCCTATGAATGAGCTGGTAAAATAAATGGTAATTTTAATTCATGATTAACAATTGATGAAAAATAAACACAATAATAATAATAATAATAATAATACAACAATAACAACAACAATAAAAAAAATTAATAATAATAATAATAATAATAAGGATGATGTTTATTATGAATGTTATTGTCGTCATCATACTTCTTTCCTTGAGAAGTTGACTGCTTTCTGTTACCCTTATTACCCTTAGATACTGAATCACCTCTCTTTTTTGATTTTTTAGCTTTTTTCTTCTTTACAAAGTCGTCATCATCGTCGTCATCATCATTCTCGTCGTTGTTGTTCTTGTTTTTGCTATGGTCGTCTCCATCAACTTTGCGTTTCTTGGCATCGTTTGCATGTTTGGCAGTTGCACCAGGGTCGCGTGCCACTTTCAGAAAAGAAGAGGAGGAAGAGGATTTTGTCTTCCACTGCAGTTCATCATTAAAATCACTCACCAACAAAACACATAACAAGAACAAGCAAACACGCCCACACACACACACACACACGCACATACATACATACACATACACACCCATACGCACACACAGATATACACATACACACACATTCAGATATACACACGCTCACACACACACACACACATACACACATATACGTACAGACATATACATATACACACATACACACACAAATATATATATACACACACACATACACAGATATATATACACAAACATACACATACAGATAATGCATGAAATCTTACCAGATCAGTTGCCTTGTAAGACAGTGGCTGCATTGACTGGACAATTCTGCAGCAGAATCCAACAGCTCTACACAGCATCACAAATATCTGGGAGGAAGAAAATATAAAATTCGTATTAGCAAACCAACTGTCAAGAAATGGTTAAGTTGAAGAGATTGTCAATAAATGAAAGAATATTTTTAAAAGTCTAGTATTAATTGAAGGAATTTAACCATGATGAACTCAAGTTCCGAGAGGGGAAGCTCCTTTCTGAGTAGCAGCACATCAGCCAATCTTTTGTGCTGGTCAGATATTATATAAAATTGAATCAAACTGGAAACAGTCAATACAACTTCATCGAAATCCTCACAATGGTCTTCTACTTTTTCAATACTCACATCACCATCATCATCATCCAAATCTTCATCATCTACAGGCATCATCATCCACACACCATTATCATCATCACCCACATCATCATCATCACCTACACACACATACATACATACATACGTACTACATACACACACACACACACATACACACACACACACACACACACATACATACAAACACATACATACAAACACATACATCGATCGACATCATGCCACCTGCAACAAACTTACTCTAAAGAAGCCAAAATTGGCATTGTCAACTTTCTCAATCTTCAACCTCAAATCGTCAAGAAACCAGATTTTCAACTCTCCAAATGTTCAACCCTGCACTCGGCCAGAGACTCCGACTTGAAGATGGAGTTGAATGGTAGGATGGAGAGAAGGACTGAAAGCAGGATGCCGTTGTTGGCTGCACGGTTCACACGCAGACCCACCGCCAGCAAACACAACAGGTGAACCTAACAACAATCAATCAATCAATCAATTAATCAATCAATCAATCAATCAATCAATCAATCAGTCAGTCAGTCAGTCAGTCAGTCAGTCAGTCAGTCAGTCAGTCAGTCAGTCAGTCAGTCAGTCAGTCAGTCAGTCAGTCAGTCAGTCAGTCAGTCAGTCAGTCAGTCAGTCAGTCAGTCAGTCAGTCAGTCAGTCAGTCAGTCAGTCAGTCAGTCAGTCAGTCAGTCAGTCAGTCAGTCAGTCAGTCAGTCAGTCAGTCAGTCAGTCAGTCAGTCAGTCAGTCAGTCAGTCAGTCAG